CACCTCATCCTCATCCCGGCCCAGCCCAGCCCGGCATAAAAAGGGCTCGGTCTCTCCCTCTCCCCCCAGCCCCGTGCGCGGCGCAGCTTCGTTTCATCCCCTTCTCCTCTCCTCTCCCTCCCATCCTCCGCTCCGGGCCGGCTCCGTTCCCAACCTCGGCATTCCATCCTAATTCCCCCCCCAAAAAAAACCAAAACAACCGCCCCAGCCATGTCTCGCCAATCCACCGTGAGGATCCAGCGGGGCCGCAGCGGTTTCAGCGCCGCCTCAGCCGCGGCTCCCACGGCGTGCAGGACCAGCTTCAGCTCCTGCTCCCTCACCCGCCTGGGGGGCTGCGGAGCCGGCAGCGGCTTCGCCAGGGTCGGGGCGGGGGGTTTCGGCAGCAAAAGCCTCTACAGCGTGGGCGGCTGCAAGAAAATCTCCGTGGCCGGCAGGGGGGGGAGTTTTTACGGGGCCGGGGGCGTTTTTGGGGTCCCGGCCAACCTGGGTTACGGCTACGGGGCCTTCCCCGCCGGGGGGATCCACGAGGTGTCGGTGAACCAGAGCCTCCTGAAGCCCCTCAACCTGGAGATCGACCCCAACATCCAGAGGATCCGCAAGGAGGAGAAGGAGCAGATCAAAACCCTCAACAACAAGTTCGCCTCCTTCATCGACAAGGTGAGAACTTTGGGGGGTGGGGGGGGGGGGAATTCCCCCCTAAAAATATCCCACCCTGGGTTTGTTTTTTTTTTTTTGGTTTTTTTTTTCGTGCTTGACGAGCACATCAAGGAGGAAAAGGAGAGAGGGGTGAGGCTGAGGGATGCCCCGGGAACTCCCAGGGGATGGCACCTGCCAGGCGGTGAATGAATCACCTCGTTTAATCCTCCTCGCCCGCTGCTCGACGGGCCCCGCAGGGCAAGGAAAGCCCCAGAGGGCCAATCCCACCCCTCCTGGAGCCCCGGGAACGGTCCTTCGGCTGGTGGAAGCGAGATGATGCACGAAACCCACCCAAAACGACCCCCAAAAAAATCGCCGCAGGGGGAGAAGTAGCTTCTGCCGCTTGAATTCCCTCGGAGGCATTTAAATCACCACCACAGTGGTCGGGGGTTTTGTTTTGGCTCAAAAGGGTCAAATCTGACCCAACATTTTCACTGATGCATCAGAAATCTGCTCCTTTTCTGCTCTGGCTGAGCAGCTCTTTGGTCTGGAGGAAAACGCTGCGATGTTTTGGAGCTTTTGGGGGAACTTTTAATGAAGGGAAGGAGGAGGGGGAAAAAAAAAAAGCATAAAAGCACCTCAAAACGTTATTTTAATAAAAGAACAAGCCCCGCTCTGCTCCTTCTCTGATTTTGCACGCACTTTTTCCCACAAAATCCAGGTAAATTTAGCAAAGACGCGAAGGGCAGGGGGTGGTCTCGGGGTCGGCAGCGCCGAGCGGGGTCAGACGGCAGGTCCTGCCGGGAAAACGTGGCTGGAAGGAGAATCCCCAACCCCTTTTTTCCCCCCCTCCAGGTGCGGTTCCTGGAGCAGCAGAACAAGGTGCTGGAGACCAAGTGGGGGCTCCTGCAGGAGCAGGGCCTGAAGACGGTGAGGAACAACCTGGAGCCGCTTTTCGAGGGCTACATCAACAACCTGCGGGTGCAGCTCAACAGCCTGCTGAGCGACAAGGGGCGGCTCGAGGGCGAGCTCGTCAACACCCAGTACCTGGTGGAGGACTTCAAGAAGAAGTGAGAGGTTTTTTTTTTTTGGTGGGGGGGG